TGCTGAACCACTATCTGAAGCTCTTGTGTGTGCTATCTGGTAACAAGGCAGTTAAAAAACAAGGCGTAACATCTTCCTACTCTAGAATACTAGGTACATAATCATTTCAGTGAGACTTACAAATATTAAATAAAATGTTGAGGGATAAAATTTCATGGCTTGATTTTTTTGCTCTGATTACTCACACCTCCGGATTCTTAAGTGGAAGCGTGGGATATGAAGCATCTTGACTTGAGAGGCTTATTCTCACTTATCAAGATGGGCCTGGAAATGCAACTTGAATTCACTGCAAACACCCTGGTGAGTACACACTCATTTTTTGTAACAACCTACCAAAGTTCTTAAAGATTCGGTCTCTGCTTGCAGACTTTGTATTTTGCAGGCTGTATCATGGAATTCAGTTCTCAGGGATTCTACCAATTCCTCCTCTTGTGTCCGTACAGTAGGTGTCGTTTCTGTGTGCTGCTGAAAGAAGATAACAGTTGTCAGTCACAACAAGCTGTAATTATAATTCATATTCCTTGCATCCCAAAATGAAAGGGCTTTGCAACTCTGATTTCAAGTCTGCTGCCAGGAAGTTAAATGATGTATGTTAACAATAGTATATTTATTTTTCTAAGGACATACTGTAAAAATAGTGCTTGTAAGTAAGTAACCGCATGCACACAAACATACATCCATGTGTATGCATTGTGTCTCAGTCTACATGCTGCTATATGCTTGTACAAATATATTAAAAATTACCAGCAGAGAGAGGAAAAAATGCAGTTGTGTACTTCCCCCTATCTTTACAATGGAATAACTTTTTAAATTAAGGGTTTTTTTTAATCCTTCATTCCATTTTTATATTTGAAGTCTCATCTGTCCTGCTTTTTCAGGGAAATTCTAGGAAAGACAGAAGAACTTGTTAAGATATAAACCTGATTAATTGAGAAGGAAGTATGATTATTCAGTTTGTGGTTATTTTAAATACCTGTTTAACTCAAACTCCTTAGAAACAGAAGAAAGAAAAGGCCCTTAGTAAAGAAGCAGGAGTGTTTAATCTTCATTAAGAGGCTGACTGCTCTAAATCCATATTTCTGGGTCCTCCAGTGAACACAAGCTTTGATTAGTCCTAGTGTTTCCAAAGAAAAATCAAGAAGAAAAAAAAAAACCCTCTGGAGAAAAACAAAATATTAAGTACTCACTGTGCCTCACAAAACCAAAAAAAGAGGTAGGCTCCTTTCTCTCCCCTCTCCTTCCCCCCAAAAAAACCCACCCCTTCTTCAAGTCACCTTTTAATAATAGATTATGTAAAGTATGAATGCCCAAGCATATCCTCCCTATCTGTGCAACCAAACCAGAAGTTGAGGCATGCCTTGGGCCATGTCCTGCTAGAGAATCCAGGGCCCGTGGGCCCTGGTGGACATGGCGTTTGGCAGCTGATACAGCCCTGGTCTCCCTCTAATTGCTTTCCCTGCTGCCACTGCTGCTGGCCCTCAGCCTCCAGCCCCCAGAAAGTCTCCTTTCACCCTGAAGAAAAAGGTTAAAGTACAGGCTGCATTAGGGCTTCATGCTAGATCTCATGCTCTTTAAAATATTCATTAATAGTCTAAACTGGTGGGTTAGCTGTGGGACAACCAGCTTTGCAGGTGACAAAAGGTTGTTTAGATTACTCAGGTCCAGAGATCACTGTAAAGAAACAATCAAGATAAATGAGCAGTGTGACAGCAAATGAAATTCACTGTTGATAAATGCAAAGCAATGCACATTTCAGGGAATAACTTACATTGCTTATCTGCTTTATAAGGTCATAATTTAACTGCATCAGGTCAGGAAATTGATTTGAGCATCAATGTGGACAAGTCAATGAGGATCTCAGCCCAGTGGTCTAGAATGTTATGGGTATTTAGGTACCTAAAGATGCCCGTATGGAATCCCTTTAGGCATCTAACAGCATGTTTAAGTGTCTCAGTACCCATAGAAATCTGGCCCTGTGTGCTGCTGTTGTCAAAAAAGCAAACAAGAGGTTAGGATACTTAAGGAATGGGATGGGGAAAAAAGGAGACAGACACAAAAATCAGTAGTGCTGCTTCATCTAGAACTGTGCCCTGCTGGTCAAACTACTTCTGACAGAATGCAGTAACATTAGCAATGCTGCAGAAAAGAGAAATTAAAAGTTTTAGGGGCACTGGAAAACTTGAATGAAGTGAAAGGGGAAGAATAAGTTGGCTGTTCAAAATTGATAGGAATACTGTTTCCTTGCATAATTAAGCTTTGCACTTGACTACAACAGGATGTCATTCAGGCCAGAAACACAGCAAGACTCAGCCAAGGACTAGACATTGATACGGATAACACCTAGACCTATATTAGTTAATGCTAACGAATTTTTAGCTAAGTATTAAATCTCATACTTCAGGGTTAAACCAATCTCTGACTAATGCATAGCCTGGGAAAAAATGATGCATTCTAGAAATAGATTCTAGTGATTTGTTCGCTTTCTGCATAGGGTGGCTGTGATAGGGAGGCAAGGCAGAAGGGCAGTGTTAAGTAAAGCCAGGTAAATCAAACCGAAAAAAGATAAGTTTCCTCTATTGGCCTATAAGCAGCTCCCTTTCTTTATGAGATTATATCATCTAGCAGGGATTTATCCATTGCCAAATTTAGCCAAATCTTTTAATTTGTTCTAAGATGCTGGATGCTAACTGATAGTTTCTGGTTAGTGGACATGTCTGCATGTGCTATTAGCATGCAGCAATAAACTCTGGCGCATACTATGCCAGAGTTTATTGCTCTGGGTGCATTGTTTGAATATGCGCCCAGAACGGCAGCCCGTTGAGTTGGGTCAGAGCAGCCCCAGCTGGCACAGGGCCCAGGGGGTCAGTCTGCCAGCCTGGGGCTGCTCCAGCCCAGCTCAACATGCTGCAGAAGAGCTGACTGGGAGCACCCTCATGCCCCAGTCAGCCACAACAGCATCTACATGTGTGATACTGCAGAGATAAATACAAGTACTATCCTGCTGAGGGGATTAATTAGTTTCCTGTGGCTTAATAGGGCTGCACATGTAGATGCGAGATGTTTACTGCAGAGCTAATTAGTCTACTCCACAGTAAATGTCTTGAGTAGACATGCCCAGTATGTCATCTTAAACTTGACCTTCTTCAACAACAGCAACAACAAATATAATTAGCCAAATAGTTTTCTTGTTCTGATTGAAAAGTGTGGCTTTGGACAAGTAAGAGAGGTTTTGCTACTTTATTAGCCCTATGTTGGAAAAAAATAAGAGAACAAACACACTTTTACACTTACTTCTCTGGGCAAATTAAACCAATGATCATTTTAATTATACAGATAGAGCCAAATTCCACCATCATTTCAAGGCCCGAAGGAGAAATACTTGATTTGTATGGGTGTATCTGGAGTGGAGTGGAGTTGGGCCACATTCCTTAGATTATTACCATCAATTTTTGATTTAAGAGAGAGAATTCTGTATAGAACTAGAACTTTTTTTCCAGTAGATCTTACAGTTAGACAGGTACAGGGAAGTGTCACCACTTACCTTGGTATAGAGCAAGGCACCAGTCTCAGCACGATTTCTCTCAATATCCTTCTCCCAGTGAATTCTGATTTTTTCCAGTATGTCATCCAGGCCAGTTCCAATGGGAACATCTAGCTCCTCCAAATGAGATCCAGCAAGCTGTTTATATAATACTTTTACATCCTGAAAAAAATGCACGTAAGGAAAAGGAATGATGGCCAAGGAAAGCTCAGTCTGAGGAGCACTTTTGGTACATCTGAGGGCATGAGTATACAAATAAGATTTAGTGATCTAGAGGAAGGTGGGGCTTTACAGCACATCAGCTGCTCCATGGTAACTGCCATGGGGTATGTGCAAAAGATGATAGATCAGTTGGACACCTTGGTTTAAGGAGCACAAGAACAAATGAGATTTGCACATGTATATGTGAACTATCAGCAACACTATGGCCTTTTTACACTGCTAGAACAGCATAAGGGAACCTGTGAATTAGGTTTGTAAACAATCTGTCCTGCAAATGATAGTGGTAAAAATAGATGTGGACAATACAAGAAAAACATATGCTCATACAGAAATGGACCACAATTGAAACTTCTTTGTCAATGTACCCCTGAGCCGCATCCAGATGAGCAGAGGCGTGCACTTGCAGCAGCATGAATTCGTGCCACTACTTTGTACCACAGCGCACACACCTACGTGTGCCCTTTGTTGTGGGACACGTTGTCCCACTGTGGGAAAACTGCCTGTTCCCAGCTGCTCCTGGCTCCTGCCCAGGTTCCATGTGCTGGGGAGGACTGGCTGGGGCACAGGCTGCCTCAGTGTGGGGGCTTCAAAGTGCCCAGAGATGTGGGAGCTGGGAGCCCCTGCACTGAGGCATGCGGAGGCAGGGGAGCAGCCAGTCCAGGCCTGCCTGCTCCCTTGTCCCTGCTCCCACACTGTGCCCCAGCCAGCTGTCTCCACAGCGTGTGGAGACAGGGGAGCAGGCAGCCCTAGCCTGCAGCATGTTTGTCCTGGTGCACACTATTTTCAAATGCTTTGCGCTGCTTTTTTTTTTTTTTGTAGGGGGGGCTGGGGAGGGGCGGTGGAACTGGGAAATCCTGGTAGCAAACTTTTTGAATCTTGTTGAGCAGCCTCTTGTGATGTCATTGCCATATGAAGAATAAGTCTCTTTGTGGGCTGATAGACTACTGCCTTACTTATTGGCCACACAGGCAAATAAGGGAGCAGATATCACACCCTTACACCTTAGCACAGGTTACTCATGTTTCTAGTCTGTGCAAAAGTATAAGAGCTGTTGCAGAGTTGCTGTTCCTCTCATTGTGTATGTGTAGAGCACAGGCAGGGGGAGGCTGTGAATGGGCAGTCTTGGCATGCCAACCTTGGGCTCAGCATGCTAACCAGCTCAGCTTAGCTGGTGTGGTGGGAGCTGTAATCAGTATCTTGGTCTGGGGCTGGTCTGTTTTACTGGCATAAAAAGAAAGCGAGGACTCTATGGTGAGGTACAGTTCATTCCTTGTTCTGTTCCTGGGGCAGTATAACTATATGCTGCCCCTTACATAGGACTTCCAACTCTGCAGTCTAATTCCCTGTCATTATTTGACAGGGAATTAGACTGCAGTGCTTATTTGAGTGTGCTTATTTGAGGTCAGACCCTGAAGCCCTTCAGGGTGAGTAATCCTCTCTAATGCAAGGTGTCCTGGTGAAGACAATGAATAAGAAAGTAAAGGCTGCAAAACTGGGCCCTTGGGAACTCTTATTGCCATTGCCTCAATGAGTTGTTGCTCAAAGGAAGAAATTAAGATTCAGTAATTGAGTGGTTTGCTAACTACATCACAAACTTTGCAAACCAGCCCAGTTAATATTGAGTGTCATTTCAGAAATTTGATGGCTTTATTGGTCCATGGGGTCAGATTTCTCACTAAGTGGAACTGTTGTTCATTTACAGTAGTGTGCATGTAAAGAGAATCAGGCCCCAAAGTACTGGGGATTTACACTTTTAAGGGAAAGTCCAGCACCATGAATTTATGTAGTGTAAGAGTTGGCAACCTATGGCCTACAAGCCGAATTTAGCCCACAGAATCATTGGATCCAGCCTGAGGACTTTGGGCTTTGGCAGTATTTGATGGTGTGGGACATTGGCTGCACAGATGGCTGGGTCCTAGAACCTGCCCATCCACCTGCCTCTGACCCAAGGTGAGTTTTTCCAGCCTGCAGCCAGAAAAGGTTGCCTACCCCTGACCCAATGTGAGTGCAATGTCAAATGATGTGTAGCCATTTTGGATATGTTGTATTTATCAGGTGTAAAAAATATTGAATATTTTGTATTGGTGTTTTTGATAATTACTTGAAAGAAGAGTTGTGAAAGCTAACAAAGGAGGGGAGGAGGACAATTTACAGATTGATACTATAATCTATATTTGACAGGAGTAATTTAACTCCTTTTCAGACAGATGTGTCACACTGGCCTAGCTAAACAGACATATATTACCTATGCATTGCCCACAGTCTTGACTTACTTCTTCATGAGTCTTTGACAGCAAAGCTAGTTCTTCTTTCATGCTTTCTATCTGACTCTCCAGATCCATTTTAGTTAAATTAGCATCATCAATCACTTTATATAAGGAATTAATTTCATCTTCCACTGCCTTTCTAAATGGTTGCTCATTTTCATATCTGCAGAGAAAAACTTTATAAGCACAGCTGGGCACAAAAAAAAACCCTTGCATTTTACAAATAATACTATTCAGCTAAGTACTGATATGTACCAGATTGACAGGCAAAGAAGATGCAATTTATGTCTACCATTTATTAATACACTCCAATGCCATTTTCAGCTCAATCCTCGTTGCCCTTCTTTATTAGAAGGAAAGTTACAATGCAAATTAACAGTCTCCAGGACAGCATTGTATGGTTAATAGTGTTTTGGAAAGGGAGTCAGAAAATTGATGCTCTTTTTCTGGATTTGAGGTATACACATCATGTGATCTTTACCTTTCTGTATTTCCATCATCTGTGTAGTGAATATAATAATGCTCACCCATTTCTGTAAAGAGCTTTGAAAGCATAGGATGGTAAATAGATTCTGAGCTTCAAGCAGTACTGTTGTTATATAAAACTAAACACATTGTGTGGTGGGTGTGACTTATGTTCCTGAAGATATAGTCCATTCTTGCAGTTACATACTTAGTTGCACTGAAGTGAATTGGAAGCATGTTGTTTATTTCAGTTGGACAAGGATTCTGAATTACAATACTTTGTAACCAACTTGAGCCTCATAAACACGAACTGCTGTTTATTTTTCTTTTTAAAACATCATGGCATATAATTTTTCTAAGAACACTGCTAATAAGATCATTACTTTGTAACAAAACTGTAAACTGAAGTTAGGTGGCAACTGCTCATTTAACTGACCCTGTGCTTGAACAATTGTTTTGTCAACAACAATGACTGTTTAACCAAAATGCAACTACTTTTTCCCTACTGGCTCAGTGGCAACACTTTTGTCTGCATGACTGTAGTTCCTTTTGAATTTTAATCTTTCAATTTAAATGGAAGCTTGGGATGCTGCAGCACTGGACCTAGCCAATTTGGGCAGCTGGCTCTTCTGGTATAGGTGTCAAGGGAGCCAGCTTCATAAACAATTTCTGCATTCCTCCCCTGGAGAGCCACCGTCTTTGCCTGGAAATCAACAGCTTGGGAAAGAGGCAGATGATACCAGCGTGAATTAAACATTTTTGTATACACTGCACTGATTCAGTGAAACACAACACAAAGTAATGCCTTTGTTTGGAGAAGTCAGTTGACTTCTTAAATAACTGCTTAGGTCATGAGACTGACAGACTATATTTGGAAGAACAAAATTATGTAGCAGTTCAAAACTTTGGTTTTATGACATAAATGCTAAAGATAAAACCATGAACCTACTTAAAGCATTATTTTGAATGAGAGATGGATTTGGGGAAAAAGGAAAATCCTGGAAAGATAAAGATTAGGTACTGTGAAATATACCTGGAAAGTTTGATTATTATTTTTAACAAAACCTTTTTAACTATATATTAACTGTTTCATAATTAGAAATAGTTCTATTATGAATAAAGTTTAGAATAATTAAGCCTAACATGCAGTTGTAACAAGTGCAATTTAAAGGAACTCTTTCAGCTAAAAATCACACACTGCAAATCTACAACTATCATTATCTATAGTACTAGCAGTAGCCTTGATTTTGAAATTTGCTAGAATTATAAAAGTACAGTTTGTCACTATACCAGGGGTGGGCAATTATTTTGGCTAGAGGGCCATTTAAGTTTTGGTGAGCTATGGAGGGCTACACACAATCTTTGGGAAAATATCATTTTAACCAATTATAGATAAACAAATCATATACTAAAAATTAAACATCTACTATAACATATTTTATTTTATTTAAAAAAATATTTTTGTCCTGGTATATGTTTTTTTTAAAGTGGTATATATAGAGGCAATTGCATAATAGCTCAAAATAAAGTCTTACTCCTGTATATTGTATGGAGGAGGTGAGGGTGTGCAGAATATGGGGATGTTGGTGTGAGATGGGGGAGGGGCTTGAGGAGTTGGTACAAGGGGGTGGGGTGGGCAGGTGGGAGTGGCTGGAGCCCCACATGCTGGTGCAGGAGCTACCTGGCTGCAGCCTCACCCCAACCTGGCTGGGCATCTGCTGCCCCGCACATGTCCCCATGGCTGCCCTCCTTCCCCATGCTACTTGCTGCCCAGAGTGGTGTAGCAGGAGCAAAAGGAAGAACTGTTGGAGGTGGGAGGAGCTAAGCAGTACCCAGGTGGCTGCAGCTGCATCAGGAGCAGCCTTGCTGGTACACTCTGCATGCTGGCCAGGGCCCAGGTGGGTGGGAGCATGGTGTGGGCTACCCTGGCAGGAGTGGGCAGAACTTGGCCCCATGTGGAGCACCACGGGCTGGATACAATCAATTGGTGGGTGCCCACCCATAGGCCAGATCCAACAAGTTGGCAGGCTGGATTTTGCCTACCTCTGATTTATACTGTTCTTTTACCCTTAATTTCTCCATCCACATGTAAGGAAAATCAAGGCAATCAAGCTTTTTTCATATACGATTTTACTTTCAGGTTCTTGGTGGAACATTGCCTATATTTCAGATGCTGCAGCCTTTTTTTTTTTTTAAGCTCTGTCTTGTGTTTTATAAAAGCAAAATTTAATCAGTACTGTCTCTAGCAGGAGACCTAGGTTTATATATCAAATGAGCCTAATAATATTTTGCCAGTAATTTTTTTTACTGCTGGGGTGATTTTAAAATTCCATCATCAAAATAATATTACAGCACGTTCACATATCACCTGTTATTACAATAATTCATTACTATAATTAATTTGTTTAGCTACAGGACAGCCCTATGAAGGAAGATTGCAGAATCTCCAAATGCAAAACTGAGTCAAATCTGTAAATACCAAACACACACCATCTCTGATATAATCATTCAGTATTCATATTCAATATTGTAAGTGTATATTCATTCAAAAAGTCAACCAAGTTGTTGCCTGGAGAAGGCTACCTGTCTTTAAAATCTTCAGCACAGGCTTGAACATTCTCCGTTTGCAATATAAGACGAGCATTTTCAAGGACTGCGTCGCCCACCTGGAATAATGAGACAACAAAGCTCAAGCAATTAAGTACATTAACCATGATATGTTAAGTAGATAAATGATTTGTGATTCTATAATTAATTTCAGTTTTGGTGTAGGGATGTCCAAATTGTTCATTCCAGGTAATTTATTCAGGGTATTTAATACATCTGTTCATAAATAATCCACAAACAGGCTGCAGTTTTTTCTTAAATCCTTTTATACCCAATTGTTCCTTGACTACTTGTGAAAACAAATTTGAGTTTATAATTTGTTTGCAGGTGGGTTGCCAGGGGTGAACTCTAGCACTTTGTACAGGTTCTGTGCCTGACTTGCGTCCTACTTAAAACCCATTCAAATTCCATATCTGGAATGTAGAGCAGTACTTAGGTGCAACACATGCCTCTTGCTGTGACCGTTTTTATTGCAGTGAATTTGATCCAATAAGTATTTGTTGTTCATGCCATGTGAATGGCTGCCTAAATCTTAGTCATTTCTGCTCTCTGATTGGAGGATATAAACTTCTGTGATGGATAAACCTTAGAATCAAGGAATTCTTGAAAGACTATTTCACTGAGATGTGTTAGATACTATGGTCACATGGAGTAAATAAGTATGTGGTATCTTTGCTGTCTTGTGATTCCAGGACCTTTAAGCAAAACTTTCAAACTTGACCCCTCTCTGTCCCCTACTGTATTGGTATTCTGTGATTCAAGAAGGTGACCTGGGCAGCACAGAGATCAAAGGAACATAGGATGTTCTGGGATATTGCTCTCGCTTGCTCTTGTTGGCTCACTCTCTCATATGCGCACACACACTAAATAATTGCTTAACAGTTCATACCCACCAGGATTTCATGTGACAGATAGGTGATAGTAACGTAACTTCCATGTTAGTGGTTGTTTTATGCTGTTTTCTCTGTAGTGCTTTTCTTCTTCAGTAAATAACATTGTATTTTTCGAAAGTTGGCGTATTATTGGTTAGCACTGTTATCTCTGAAGGAGCAGATCTGCAGGTGTTGAACTAACAATAGACTTGCAAAGACAATTACAAGGAATCGCAATGGGACTACAGCCTTAAATCCAAAGTCTTAAGGAAGAAGGCACATAACGGAGCATCAACTGCAGATCAGGCCTGAGGAGCATGTGCTTTGGAGAAGACCACAAAGTTGTCTAAGATCTGGAACTGCAACAGTTTTACAAATAGAAGCCCCTTTCTTTTCCCATTCACAATTTGTCACTGGGCATCTGCCACTATTGCGTGAAACTATTGTGTGGTTAAAAAGAGATTGTCCACATATAGCTGGGAGAACAATTATGGTACAGATCTTACTCTGGGCTATTAATAGCAATGATTTTCTTTGTGACAAATGTTTACAAGAATCCAAATGTTTGCAAATAAAAGTGTAGCTTTTCCAATTTGACTTTCATAGAGTAGTAACTTACTCTGCAAGTAGTCCTGTAAGCATAGAGCCATCAACACAAATGTAAAACACAACTCACCATCAGCAAGAGAAGCACAATTGGCAGGTATGATATAATTCCCAAGAAAATTGAAAACTACTTTGCACACTGCTTCCTGAATGCAAAATTGAAAACAAATGCAGAACAAGCCTTTGACTTAATTTTTAATGAAAAATGTGTATGCCCCATACATCTCCAAACCTTTTTGGGGGCTCCTATGCCCTCATGATTAAAGGTCCTAGTTTTCATTCTCATACTTTAGATCTCAATTTGATTACATTGCATTTTTTACAGTAACCTTGAGAGCTAGATGTCACACAAAACATTTTTTCTTGATAGTTCTTGCAATTTTAAAATGAATTGATCTTGCTCTCATTGTTTTTTGCAGACAGTCCTATAATCTTTCAAGTAAAAAAAACCCCCTGCCATATCACTCGTCTGACCAGTCACAAGCAACCCACACAGATCAAACAGGAAATTGCTACAGACACTTGTTCACAATTAGTTTACAAGGTTAAGTTAAAATAATCAGATATTTTAGAAAAATGAATATATTGAGGAAATTGTAAGCATTTCACAAGCCAGTGACATTATAGTAATGAAGCTGTACATTGCAGGTTATTAGGTATGTTTTATTAATCACAACAACCTAAGCCAAATCCATTTTGAACTGAGAGTTTGTCTCAGGTGGAGATAAAATGTCCATCTTACAGTGAAAGAGGGTCATTAGCAGGGATCCTGTTTTCCCCTGACAAAAAATTGCAGATTCTCTAATAAACCCCCCAAAATCATCAATTAAAATGAAACACCACTCATATATAGGTATCAATTGAACACAATGTTTTATTGATATATTTACAATTTTAAAGCAATTGGGAAGCCTACCAGTGCCTCAGTCCCTATAGTAAAATAAATTCTAAGTACCTATAAAGTTTTGTATTTGATTTGGGGGTTTTTATCATGCAAAATCAGAGCTCCCTCTGCCTCCTGGCAGGTCTAGGCTCCTCACTCCCCACCCACAGCTCCCTGCCCCTGCTTATGTCCCTCCCCACCTACAGCCCATTGCTCCCCTAAGTCCTGCTGGAGGGGGCCCTCAGCTGCCAGAGCTATAGGGCCAGGGACCCAGGTCTGCAGCCCCCTGCCCTCTGCAGCAGCCCCCAAGCCCCAGCTGCCACAGCATAGCAGAGCACGGAGCCTGGCTTCACCTCCCTGTGGATGACGCGGCCAGAACAGAGCCCGGGTGTGGCAGCCCCCTGCCACTGTGCACACTTCCAGAGGGCAAGGGGGATCCGTGTCCTCCACAGATTTGTGCATGGGGCAAGGGCAGGCTGCTCACTGTGGGCTTGGGGCATCCTACCCTGCTGCACACCCGAAGGACCTCCGCAGCCCAATGGGTGGGACCTGGCATGGCAGGATCAGGGGAGGGAAGCTCCTTGCTACCATTGCAAGCCCTGCATTGCCCTGGTAAGGCATCTCCTGCCCACCTCCGAGCAGTGAGGGGCACAACCCCGCACTGCTGCCCCTGCTGCTGCCAGGCAGGCAGGGGGCATGTTGCCAGGGCAGCACGGAGCTGACAGTGGCAAGGAGCTTCCCTGCCCAACCCTGCTCTGCCTTGCCATGCTGGCTCCCACCCACTGGCTGTGGATGCCCTCGGGGAGGTCAGCAGGGTGGGGACCCTGAGCCCACAGTGGGCAGCTTGCTCCTGCCCCATGCACAGATGTAGGGGGCACAGGTGCCCCCTGCCCCAGTCTCCCAAGAGCGCACACAGTGACGGGGAGCCAGCTCTGCCCCCCACCCCCTCAGATGAGCCACCCATATCCCTGCTCTGCTCCCTGCTCAGGCCCTGCAGTTATGCAAGGCCCCATGTCCCAGTCTCCATTCACTGTGCAGCTGGGCAATAGCTTCAGCTCCAGCTCTACTCTGCCCAGCTCCCTTCCTACCGGAGCCTCAATCCCCCCCACCCCACACTTTCCTGCAGGAGCTGCTCTCCAGGCTGCCTGGTGGCCATGTACATGCACATGGAGTCCCCTGTCTGATTGGCCTTCTCCTGCTCCCTCCAGCCCCTTTCTGGCTGGAATGGCGCCTGCCAGTAGAGAGCTCTTTGCAAAAGAGCAAAATCTGCAGGTTTCTCTGCTAAAATGAAAATCCAAATTTTTCTTGGGCAAAAGGGAAAATCCATCTTTTTTCCTGTTTTTCCACGGGAAATGGAAAATCTGGATCCCTGGTAATTAGAAAGTTAGCCACCCAAAGTCAATCTCTACATCGGGAGAAATGGATTGGGACAACTCTATCTCAGGTACCATGCATTGACTTCAATAAAAATACGCATTTTTTTTAACTATATGTAAGTGCTTTCAGTTTTATTCAAACACTTAGACTACCTTTTTTTATCTGGCCTGCTGTAGAGAACTAGGGATGGTTTTTACCAAAACCCTAATGTACACACTTTTGAGTTTTTGTACTGTTAAAAATCTTGAATCCATATTCAGCTTCATGTGAAAACAATACTTATGTTTATAATGGAACAAGCCAACTCTATATTTGAACTGTCCCAGATTTGGGGGTATTCTGTTTATTTTCAATTCAAAACTGAACTATGCAGTTTGAATACATCCCTAATAGGAATAGGTATGGATCCTAATGTTTGGAGGCATCAAGCTCCCACAATGGCAATTGAGGCCAGCACGTCTCTTTCAACATCTCTGAAAAGTGAATCTGTCTGGCCCCACAATCTAGTCGTTAACAGTAAAGCGAGAAATGCATGCAGATATCTGTGGAGGAACCCAAAATTCTAGAAAATGATCTTTCTCAATAACATTTAAATGAGCTGTTAAAGCCCTTTGAGAAGCTAAAAAAATGAAGTAAGGCTTCCATCTAGTGGCCCTATTATTTGATTTCATTCTTCTAATAATCAGCAGTTGCATATAAAGATTCAGCATTACTGGAAAATTATTTTCTTTGTAACTGGCCATCACTTTCCTGCTACATTTATGAGTGATGCAGCAATTTAGGAAATATCCTTCTTAATGTTTATTTAAACAGACGAGGCTCATAAGAGAGCAAGTTGTGTCTTGTAGACATTGCTTTCACTGTAAAATCAAAATGATGCTTTTCCACCCCACAAGGGTGCTGTGAAGCTTAATTAATTGGTGCTTGCAGACATTTTAAAATGCTAACACGGAAGGTGTGATCAAAGTAAAAACAGTATTACTAGCAATAGTCCCTTTGACTTTCAAAACCTATGGCTGTACTCCAATTTATTATGTGCATACAAATACCCCTTTCAACAGAGATTTTTCAGTACTTGAATTAATACCAAACACTTGATGACAAAACATAAGTCAACACGGTGTAGATATTCATCAGTAGAAACATGTATTAAATGTAGTTTTAATTCCTTTGCTACTAGTCATAAATGCATCTGATTTGCTATACTGAATCAGATGCTTATTCGCCTAGTACCTTGTTTCTGACAGCAACCTATACCCATTTCTTCATGGACAGGTGTGCTTTTCTTCTCTGAACCATGCACTGTGCAATACTGGTACCT